ACTATGGTTACTATGAGAACACTTACCACAGAGGTCAACTGGTTTCGTTTTAAGAACAATCTTTCCACAGAGTTACAGATGGGTTCTTGAAATAAGTCTGTGGGTAGTTCAGATAACCCTTTATAATTTAGATATAGTATGCAATGCTTATGCTCGGCCGCTTCTATTAGGATTTCCTCAACAGAACTGAATTCATGGTCTTCTGCCATCATGGTTATTCTACGATCTCCAATTTCTTGTGCCAAGGAAAACAGAAATACATTGCTGTCAATTAATTCCTTTTCTGTTAATAAAAAGAGTGAATAACGATTAGCTATAATGCAATAATGTATTTACCAACATAATACTTTACCTGTATGTCTGGGTGAATTGGTAAATTAGAATACTGTGGAATACTTATTTTCGCTGGAATTAATTTTTGCTGAAAAGGCTTTTTTGGGCGTTTTGCTTGGAATTTATTTTCACTGATTTTTGATGAGATAATGTAAAATATAGGAAAAAATGTATATTCGCTAGATTTTATTTTCACGGAATCATTCCTTCCGCGAAAATAAATTCCAAGCGAAAATAAAGTATTTGACAGTATTATCATGAAATACAAATAATTTGATATTTTTTTTTTGTTCAGTATTTACTATCTTTGTTCTAAACAGTACTAATTTTGTTTGTGCAAATTTGTTCAAGTATGACAACTCAGACGCTAACGGAAGTTAACGAATGTTTGAGGTCTAGTGTCGAGTCAACGTCCTCGGATCTGTGGGCAAGAATAATTTACATCCCATGAGTTTTAAGAATAACCATGGTAACCATGGAGTCACAACATCATAAAATTACAGAGAATATAACACCTTGGTGACTCATTAAATGAAAAAAACCAGAGTAGCACCACACACCGAGTCATTTGGCTGGGTTTGACTCTTTTTGCAGTTTTCTTAGAATCAACAGTATTGCCATGGTAACTATGTTTTTTTTTAAACCCTTTAGATTACTGATACTACTGGTTTTATTTCAGTAGCCCTTCTTCTACCCTGATTACATTACTTGTTGTAGGTTTGTGTCAAGCTTTCTCAGTTACAGCGTTCATACATTCATAACACTAGAGCCGACGTGTGAGATTTTGAGATGCCTTGGTATAAACTGCACATATGTAATCTACGCACATGTGCTTTAAGTGAAACTGTGCATGCTCACTTTCTGCTTAGATCCATACTCTTACATACAATTACATAAAACATAAAACTGATTAGATCACATTAATTTGTAGTCTGACGAGGTCGCGTAAGTTGCGCCCTTCGTGGTGCTTGGAGCACCTGGAGCCTCCAAACCCAACACACGCCTAACAGAACAATGTAGTTTTTCACTTCCCAATGATTTTTTTGTTTTTGGCAAACAATGCGAACAAATTCATAACAATACTATAGAACTGGAAATTGTGCAGTTTTATTTTTCATTGAAAAATAATTGCATGTAAATTAAAAAGTGTTTATTTGCCAGGTATATTTCTTTGTTGTGACACTGGGGGCGCTGTATTTCTCATCAGTACACTATGTGTGATTTGTGTCGGCCAATGTTGTGAAACTGAAATTTCATTGTGGCAGGTGTTTTTGATTTTACCAAGAATTAATTACTGTTAAAGATGCTGAAAAAACTAATCGTAAACTAACAGTTTTTGGTTCACCTCTTACTTGTCAAAACATTATTACAGGTAGTTTTAATTAAATCAACATTAGTGCCACAGTTCATTGCGTTTACTCATGACGAATCAATTACATATATACACATCCAAAATGATTGTAAACCAGGGGGTGCATCGGAATTCAATCATTTGATCCAGCCAATGTAGACAAGACTTAACGCATTGTAAGCAGTTTCATTTAGAATTATAATTTCTGCAGGTTGTCTGCTAATACATCTTTGTTAATAATAAATTTAAAATGCAGCTGGTGAATGATGATTCTAAACATAGCAAATTGAACAGCAGTCATTTTAAGAATGATGAATTTACATAATTTTGCTACCCTGAACTTGATGCAGGAAGCATTTCACATTGCATAATTTATTTTATAAAACTTCTTGATCCCCTCATAGACCCTAGGGTTTTTTAGGGTCTATGATCATCTCAACATATGCCCATATACAAACATTGTTTTAACTATAAATAATATAGAACTCCAGTCATTATGTTCTAACCATATTAATAGAAAAAACTTTCTCTCATTGCGATACAAGTAACTGCATAGGAGGGACATGCAAATGACTTCGGAAAGTTTGTCTAAACTGCACGAAATTGCTACTTTTGACTCTTCCCCGACAATAACTTTGCATGGAATAATAAAATATTCGTCATAAAATTACAGCAACACATACAGCCTCTATATAATAATAACCATGTGTACATGTTGTAGCATTGTTACTGATGTACACAAAAGGAAGAAAAGAAATGCAACGTAAATGCAATAGTGAAAAAATAGTTCTGATTGAATTATTTGGATTTTACAATGTACATGTGATTGGTATGTTTTGTTAATGAGAATAAATAAATAGTAAACACGTGTTACAATCAGTGTTCACTAGTACATTTGTAGTATTTTTTTAATAATTTGTTCTTCGAAATAGTACTGATTTTTACTCGGTACCTTTCGTTGATAATGAAAATAATTAAATAGTAAACACCATAAATAGCCTCACTGACCGATGTGAGTGGGATTGATATTGATTGTTTTTTCTATTTGTTTGTTCGGTACCGAGCGCCTCCTGTGTTAGCTGTGGAATCATAGCCCCCGAGAGCCGTTTTTGGTCGTCGGTATCTGGCTTCGACTTACAATACAAAATTGAAAAGAAGATGATGAAC